AGCTCCGAGCTTCCTACCCACACTGCCTTGCACACGTGTCTCTGACTTCTGAGGGCACCACAGCCCCGGCCTGAAACCACATCCACCCAGCGGGATTCCCTACCTCCCCTGACCCTGCAGACCAAACACTTATAGAAAAACCAAGATTCAGAGAGAACAGAAAGACGCAGATGAGTCACCGGATTTCATGGGTTGCCCTATCATACTTTTGGGGTTAGAAGGATGGGGTCATTTGAAAGCCTACTTGGAGCTTTCTTCCCAGGGTGCTCAGAGCACAGCTTCTGACTTTAACCGGGATTCCCTTTGTGACACAGTAGGTCTGGGGTGGGGCCTGAGAGGCTGCAGTTTCTAACAAGTTCCCAGGCACGCTGATCGTGTGGGTCTGTGAACAATCTGAGTGGCAAGTGCCTGGGAGGCCTCCTGTCCTCAAGAAACATGAGGGTTGAGGCAGGGACCATCACCTTCGATCTTGCAGATGAGAGGTGGAGACCCAGATGTTAAGTGGTTTGCCCAAGACAATTCAGCAAATTAGTGGCACAACGCCAAACCACCTTGCAAACACTTGGCCTGTTTGAGTCGCCTGTTCTACATCGGAAGGCAAGCCGACAGGCCTTGAGTGTGTCTGTACAGCAAAAAAACCAAAAAAAAGTCAAACCTCTAGTCTTTGCTGACCTTGTACACTCTATATATTGCTTGCCATAATACCAGATGCTTTATGGTATTTTCATCAGAAAGAAGACTCAGAGTGTCTAATGGTAAGACCAGAAACCTGACATTTTATTCCTTGCCAGAGCTGGACAGAGTACATGGCAGGCAGACAAAATACAGGCTAGCCAGTTAAACTTTTTCACATAAAGAGTAATTTTCCAGTATAATTATGTTCCGTGCATAATTTGAGATATACTTACAATAAAAAAAAGTATTTGTAGCTTTATCTGAAATTCAAATTTAACTGGTGATCTTCGACTTTTCCCCCCTAAGTCTGAAAACCCTGACAGGGTCGCAAGTGGGAATAAGGAGACTAGAGACTAGGGATTTGGTAACGAGGAACATTTCCTGCTTCACTGCTGTTGACCTTAAAGAAAACCGCAAGGATGCTGGCGTGGCAGGCGCTCCACCAGGATGCACAAGTTATTACTGCAACCACTGTGCCTATTTCCTCTTTAAGTTCATCTCCCTGAACAGAGCTTCATCTTCCTAAATAACCTATAATGTGACAAAACCCTACATTTATAGCTGGTGTTATGAGCTGAGTCATGTCCCCGAAAAATCATATGTTGTTGAAGTCCTAACCCTGCACTCCAGAATGTGACCTGATTTGGAACCAGGGTTGTTGAAGACGTCATCAGCTGAGATGAGGTCATAATGGAGCAGAATGGGCCCCGATCCAACAAGACTGATGTCCTTGTCTGAGGGGGAAATTTGGACACAGAGACTGACATGCACGCAGAGTGAAGGCCATGGGAGGGCTGGCCTTGTGCTGTCACAAACCAAGGACCAACCAGAAGCTGGGAGAGAGGCTGAACAGACCCTTCCCTAAAGCCTTCAGCGGGAGCATGGCCTTGCTGGCTTTGATCTTGGACTTCCAGCCTCAAGAGCTGTGAGACAATCAATTTCTGTTATTTCAGCCGGTTGGTTTGTGGTATTCAGTACTCTGGTTACTGCAGCCCTGTAAACAAATGCTGAGAGCCGGGCAGAAGACAGCAGAGAAGGCACAAAGCGAAACGAAACAAGCAGGAGAACTCAGCGACGTTACCATTAGCCGTGGAACCGGAAACCTTCTTAGGAAGACACAGGGATTTAGAAATGGTGAGCCACTGCGTACAAAAACACTGAGTGCTCTACAGAAACTCGAATTTTGAACATCGAGGTGAACAAGTTACACACTGTGTAAAGAAGAAAACCTCGGAAATCAGAATTTGCCCGAGTTGTACAAAAAGGATACACTCTCAAGCACCTCCGGCCTTAAAGAGGCTTGCGGGGAGCGTTTTAAAATTCACAACCTCAACAGACCAGTTAGTGTGAACAGGTTTTTTCCCATGAGAAGTCTGCTTTCCTTCAGTCCTTACAAACCAAGCATTACTGGATCAGTGATTAAAGAGCTCAAAACAAAATTAGGCAGGCTATTCTGATTTCATTGTCTCTCTTGATTACTTGCTTGTCGTATTTCAAATAGCCCCAAATGGCAAGATTTAAACAAAAGATAGGCTATACAACAATACTTTAGCCTCCCTTTCTAAAGTAACTGAAACCACCACAATTCAGTATGAATTTTAATGGGCCTTCACCTTTACCCAGAACTTGCTCTGGCCTGGAGGATTCCAGGGGCAGAATTCCACAGCCCAATACCAGGAAAATGCCAAACTCAGCTGGCCCAGCCCCGCCGGCCTTCATGTACCACACGTACCAAGGTGTTCATTTCTCTCTCGAGGCCTCTGGACATGCTGAACCCTCCGCCTGGAATGTGCTTTCTTCTCTACACATCCTCCTCCCTATAAACACAACTTCCTACACGTACACAACTTAACGTCGCTTTCTCAGAAACTTCTTCGATCATCACCCTTTTATTTTTCCTTATCACATAATCTTACACATTTCTTTTGCCACTACTGCAGCTATAATTATTTATTGTTTGCTTGCTTATTATCCATCCCTCCCTAGTCAAATGGTGAGATCCATGAATCAGAGATCAGACGTGTGTTATAAATTACACCCAGGGGCTGGTGCAAGGGAAGCACACAGATATTGCCCTGGCTTGATCAATTAATTAATTATTTAAAACAAACAAATGAAGGCTTTTGGGAGAACACCCCCAAAATGTGGTAGGATGCTCTTTACGCTCAGAGGGTTTGAGGTCAACCCTGGAGCATAGAGTCTATGCGTCTCATCCTGGCTGTCAAAGGGATGCTTTTAAGATCACTTATCACCCTGGCTGGTGGGGCTCAGTGGATTGAGCACTGGCCTGCAGACCAAAAGGTTGCTGGTTTGATTCGTACTCAAGACACATGCCTGGGTTGCAGGCCAGATCCCCAGGTGGAGGCACGCAAGAGGGAAGAGATTGATGTATTTCCCACACACCATGTTTCTCTCCCTCTCTCTATAAATAAAATTTAAGTATTTTTTTGAAAAAGATATCCCCTGTCTACAAATTTCTCTGAGAAAGTCTACACTTCTCATCCTGGCTGTGAAAGGGATGTTTCTCAGATATCACTTGTCTATGAACTTCTCTGAGCAACCCGCTGGTCAAGATCTGGTGTTGCAAACAGCCCCTCCCTGGAACAAAGGCTTGCAGTCCAGGAGGAGCCCCCCCGGGGTTCGGAGAAGTGAATAGTGTGAGAGTGAATATCTCTTTATAAGTAACTAGTTATTAACTTAAAAAGGAAAAGCTTATATATTTTGTGTTATATATTTTATGTTTACAGAAAATTAGGATTTATGAGTTCTAAGCATTAGATGGCAGAGGGTATTTTGGCAATACACATATAAAACCTTTGAACTTTACCTACTACTTGACCCAGAAATTCCAGGAATAGAAATTTATCTTAAGAAAATAATTATTAACACATTCAAAAATTTAGTCACAAGAATGTTCACTGTAGTACCATTTACACTGGAAACTTATATATCCAATAACATGAGATAAAGTAGATAATTTGTGGTAATCCCTATTAAGAAATGCTCTATATTCAAAACGTCTTAATGAATGGAATGACAAGGACTGAATGGAGAAAGGCTCACTGTCCACTAACAGCACAAGGAGTAGGGTAAGAGCCCATACTCCAAAACGACAGCTGTAGTTTTTGCTGGATGGAGGGGTCATTTACGATTTTTATCTTCTTATGTTTATCTGCATCTTAGAAATTTCCTTGGAAAGACATGCAACACCAATGTAAATGTATTCTGAAAAAAAGTTATTTAAAATTAAGCAGCCAGGAAAGGACGAATACTGTATGGTTCAACTTATATGAGGTGCCTAGAACAGTCAAGTTCATGGAGACAGAAAGCAGAACGGCGGCTGCCAGGGGCTGGGGCGGGTGAGGAGGAACGATTTAACAGGCGCAGCGCTTCGGTGCGGCGAGACAAAGAGTTCTAAAGACGGACGGCGGCGATGGCAGCACAATAATGGGAATGCAGTTAATGTCACCGACTACACACTTAAAAATGGTTCAAAGTCGATTTGATGCTATCTGTATTTTACCACAATTTTTAAAAACTTAAAAATTTTAAATGAGTAAATCATAACCTTAGCTAGGTTTAGAGGTGTCTTCGTTACTAAAATTTTCAAGAACTAAGAAGATGACCTTGTGGACCACACGGTCCTGAGCAAGACACCCCGCTGTGCCCACCAGGGCGGGAGTGTGCCTCGGGACGGGCAGGCACCCGCCCGGCCTCCCGTCTCCGGGCGCCGGCCACAGCGTTTCCTGTCTCTTCTCACACGGCACGGAGCTGCACCCTCTCCCCAGCATCCCTGAGTTGGTTCTCCTAAGAAGGAACTGATGTGGCTGCCTCAGAAGCAGGGCTTCTCCCAGAGCCGGGACCCAGGGACTGCAGGGGCCAGGCAACTCCAGAAAAGATTCAAAGCCACATCCTGCGTAGGCCACAGGTTAAGAGATTTGCCCCCAAAGTTCCCCATCTGGTCACCGGTGGGGCCCAGCAAAGAAAGGAATCTCACCTTAAACTCACCTCTCTACCACAGAACGGAAAGGACAAACTTAGATTCAGCTAACAAAAATTCTTTCTTTATTCATCGAGAGGGTACCCAGGGCTTTGCAACGAAAAGAGGAACGTGCCTGGTTCCCGGTGGTGCACCCCAAGGACCAGGCTGCAGAGCTGTGGCCGGGGCTGAAGGTGGCCTGCAGGTGTATCTTAACAGCAGGAGGAGGTTGGGTGCTGAGTTTAAAAATCTAAAAAGATCGTACAAGTACACAGGAAAAGGAAGTTTTGCCAATCCTCCAGAGTTAACAGGGCCAGGGAAAGACAGAGACTAATGCTCCACTTACCTTCTGTAGGCACACTAACGTTATACTGAGGTAAAATAAATAGGAAGGCAGTCTTGGCAGTGACCTGTAAAATAAAGAAAAATTGTTCCAATTTAGCCTTTTGGTGACATCAAAAGGATGGAGCGGAACCTACCGCCAGCCCCCGGGGCCCACCCCGTAACCCCTCAGACCACAGGCCTCTCCAATGAAGGGGTTCCCCTAAAGCACAGTCAGCACTGGCTTTGTGTCTCTTCCGTGTAATGGCATCCCTCCCGATACCTGCACCACGGCCAAACAGAACAGTGCTGGGCCCCCACGGGATCTAGAACTGTACTCACTGCAGATGGAACGAAACAAGCTGTGCTTGGCCAGCTGAGCTCACAGATAAAGGTACAAATTTGTCTGTTGTTCATTCAATTAGTTTAGTTATCTAGCATTTCGGAAGGCAGAAACTAACAGAAGATGAGGTACCAGCCTTGTGGAAGCCCAGGGCCCAGCTGCGGATTCCCCAAGCATGTGGGTTAACTACACGGTAGACAGTAGCCCCAAAGGTGTAAGCCTGAGCCTCAGAGATGGAGAATTCCAGCTGCTAATTTCACATCTACCCAACCGTGGGGCATGGGACAAGGCATAATACCGCACACTTCTGGTTTATTTATTTCAGAAGCTTCCTTTAAAATCTTAAAGGAAGAAATCTGTGCTGTGAAGAAAACTGTGGTTGCCACCAGCAAATCAGCACTCTGGCAATTTAGCCAGCAGGGGTGATATGACAAAACGTCGGGATTCAAAATTGAACTCAAGAATTGGCTGCCTGGACTTCAACCCGCCCCTGCCGCTTGCTGGCTCTGAAGCCATGAGCAAGCCATCCGACCCCCGAACCTCTCCTTCCCGGTCTGTAAGATCGAGGATATCCGACATACCCAGGCTGGTCTGGGTGACGCTGCCTAAAGCTTCCCAGATGTTTCTGAAGTGCAGCTGGGGCAGAGAGCACCACCCGCACTGCTCTGGAAGATGAGGGAGGTCAGGGCAAGAGGCCGGACCCAGGCCTTTCCAGGAAGCTTCTAGAGACAGCTCATCAATAAAGGGTTACTGCTTCTCCTCTAAACAAAAATGTTTAAAGGAGGCACTATGGGTGTGGGGAAATGCACTGCGCATGGCAAAAAGCAGCATGGAAAGCAGGAATGACGCACTACAGCCCTCTGCGTGCGTCCACACCTGCCGTTCCCAGACAGGTTACTGTCCTCAGCCTTCTCTGTCCAGGGCAGGGCAAAAACTTCCCATCAGCCAGACCCGTTCCTCTCCGGGGCATGTGTTTGCTCTTTGTGCACTGCGAGACACCAGCCTTCTCGTGCGTGCTACTGTCTCAGCCGTGTTCTGTCACCTCGGAGGGAACCGTCGGGTGAGACTAGGCATGCCAAGGCCCTCTCCAAACACAAAGCCCTCTCCAAACACACAGGCGTTTCCTACATCCAGCCAAAACCTGGTCACTGTTGTCCCAGACCTTTTCCAGGAGCTACTGACCTCTCTTCCAGTCCAACTGCCTCTATTTCTTTCCAACAGATGTACAGATGCTATTTCAGCAAAAATGTGCTACTCCTTTCTTTGGGGGTGCTTTAGTCCCCCTCACCTTGTATTCTATAACCCCCCCAAAACCCCTACTGAACAGAATCTCACTCATCCTTCACAACCCAGCCCGACCGGAACCCCTCGAAGCCTTCGCCATCTGCCGACAGGGTGTGATGTGTTCTTCCCGTGCCCACCTGCTCCCCTGCAGTGCTCCTCAGGAGGCACTGCAGAGGGCGGGCTGTGCTGGCTCACCTGTCCCCATACCCTTCTCGGGTAGCTAAACCATGGGGCTCAGTAACTGCTCACTGGAGAGGATGAAAAATCAAAAATGGAGTCTGTGTCGCTCCAGCTGGGCTTGGTCACCTGTCACCACAGCCTTCTCCTTGAGAGCAATCCAGCTGCTGCGGCGCCCGCACCTTACGACCACCGCCACCCCAGCTGTGGCAGTCTCTCCCAGACTGCACGTGGCTCAAGTTGGCCACCTCTGACCTGACCACTGGTCCACACTGGCTGCCATGGCTCTTGTGAAGGTGAACCTTGCAATTCCATGTGTGGAGAACTGGTATTCCACCCTGACTGCACATGTGAATCCCTGGGGGAGCTTTTCAGGTGCCTATGCCTGGGACACCCCCGGCCAGTAAAGCCCCCACCGTGGCACGAGCGTGTCAGTGAGCCCCCGGAGTGCTGTAACGTGCAGACACATCTGGGAGCCACACACACAGAGCCAGTCCCTCGACAGCCCCTCAAAGTGGCCTCTCTGCCCATCTCTGTCTCAGAAACTTTTCCTGGTCCCACGTAAAATTCATTCATGTTTTAAGTAAATGTTTGTTTCAACTTCAAAACACACCCTTTTAAAAAGTGAAACAATTCAGAAAGAGGTAGAGAAGAATCCTAACACCCACTCTGCCCTCTCAGTTTCCCCTCCTCTCTGGCGCCTCCCTTCACGTGTGGGGCCAGCTCGGAGCATTCTCCCTGTGCATTTACCCATTTGCAATTTACATCCATCCTCTTGAGATCGTAACTTGAACTGTGACTACACAACTTCACCCCAGGGAGTAAAGACTAAAAAAAACTTCGAAGAGCTATCACTTATCAAATAGCATTTAAATCACGTTTTTAGCTCTATGAATCAAATGGCTGTTGGAGCACCATAGAGGACAACAAGTCTTCTCGCTGTATTCGAACTGCAGTTATGCGGAACCGTGTAGGCGCACCTTCTGTTTACTAAGGCCAACATATAACCGGGCGGCTGTACAGCAAAACCTGCCTCGTACGTACCAGTGCCTTCCATCCCCACTTCCCACAGGGCCACCCCTACAGCTTCACGGTGAAGGGCTGGCCCAGTGAAACCGGTTCTCTGCGGGAGTGTGTGTACACGCATGGAGTCCACTGCTCTAACTACTGAAAGAATCATCGCGGTTTTCTTTTGCTTTTGTTTTGTTTTAAGTAAGACAGACGTTGTCGCACGGGCTGCACACAGTCTTGTCCAGTGCAGCGCAGTCGGTCCGTGGTGTTCCCAGGAGCTCTGAGCCGCGAACTCACTGTGAACACTGAAGGAGCGAATCCGAACCGCTGCTCTAGGGGAAACTGAGGTTTCTACAAGTCTCTGGTCACACCACTTCCGTCAACAGATCAATACGTAACCTCGTTTTGCATGTGTTTTTGCCTTAAGATGCTGTAGTTAATACCAACGGTTGAAGCACGAACACGGAACTCAGGGTCAGTGGTGCTGTAACGTGTGCCAGAAGGATGCACATCTAACACACGCGTGCTCTCTGTGCGGCACATCCCAGCCCCGTGCTTAGGGGCACGAGAGAGTGCTGCAGCAACCACACTGTGAGGGCCACAGCAAACAGCAACACCACAGACAAAAAAGCACAACAATGCGAAAACAGTGGCACTAAACAGACTGCAGGAGAGCTGAACAGTGTCTTGCTGCACCTTAGCTGAACATGCTCATTGGGTCAACTCTGTTTTTTCACTGCTCTGTGCATGCCCACACATGGCCGCAACATCACTGGGCATGCTGATTTGGGGTTGCAAGTACATTAGTAAGTATGCGCAGACACGCGACTGTGGAGAAAGCATCAAGCACACTGGGGCCAGCTTCACAGGTCAAGAGTTTGTCCTTTTTAACAGCTTCACTGGGGTGTAACTTACACACCATAAAATTCACCCATTGTAAGTACACGGCTTTCTGGGATTTATCTTCACTTGTTTTTGAACACTCCCTTCACTAGAACAGAAGTTCTAGGAGTAGGAATCTTACCTGCCTTGATTATCTTCAATCCCCAGCCTACAGCAGGGCCCAGACCACGGCCAGCACCCAGCAAGCACTTGTTAAACGGAAGCCACGACAAAGGAGCAGAGCCAGGACTGCGCTCCGTTACCGGACTGACCTCAGGCTGCCATCTGCCCACATGTGCACTCCTGTGCACGTCCTCTCTCTCTCCCTGGGCTCGAGCCTGTGCTAAGCACGTAGTAGGTACCTCAACAATATGTATTTGATGAACTAATACTGCAAGCAGCTATAGTATTTAGTAACCACAGATGAAGAGTTAATAAATGTTTTCTTAACATGATTCTGAAATAAAAGGATCTAGGACTTTGATTATGGCAAAAGCTTAGATTCCAGTATTCTTCCAGCCCTACCCCCTGGTAGTAGCAACAGAAACCATTCTGAATCACGCATCTTCCTCCGTAGGCAGCCGGGCCTGCCCCCACTCCACCACGTCTCAGAGCAAGGTGCCATCAGTTTCCCTGGTCCACAGATGAGGAGGCTAACCCTGGGGCACAGGGAGGCAAACTGGCCTCCCGAGACCTCACAACCTTACAAGCAGAAAGACAACATTCAATTTGATCTTTTAAGTTTGTTCTAAATACAAATGTAGGATGTATAAAATAGGGCACACAGAATAGAATAGCAAATAAAAGGGGCAGGAGAGGAGATATGGCAAAGAGAGGTAGGGAATGAGGCTGATCCACAAAAATGCATTACAGAAAGTCCTACTCATTGGCTAAAGGTAGCCAGAAATTTGGCTCTGAGCTTTGTTCAAAGCCATGTGAAGGAAGGAGTGATCAGCTCCTAGATTCACTACGTCAGTGAATTAAAAAAACAAAGACTATCAGAAAAAGCAACTCTACTTCTCCAGCACAAAACCATTCTCTGTGCTTTAAAAGGCCCTTTGCACCCCCAAAATTCACTCCATAACCCTCTCCTCACCTCAGACCCAGGAGGAAGCACGGAAGGCTGAGAAACTGGAGCCCATTAAAAATGTCACTCCAATTATTTCCCACCCCTCTAAGGCTGTTTATAGGAAACATGATTGAATTTAATAGCATTTTAAATGCCAGGCTCAGTGGGTGAAAGGTTAACAGTGACAATGTGCTAATACTAATGCAAAGGGAGAACACTAAATTATGTAGGAGGGGCCACCTCCCTCACGCCCCCTCCCTGTCTCTGTCTCTCTCTCTCTCTCTCTCACACACACACACACACACACACACACGCACGCAGAG